CTTGTAGTGAATATTTTATGTTTTAAGTTTAAATATAAAGTTAGGGTGAGGACGAAGATGGGAGTAGGGTGAGAATTACATTGTCCATCATTGTCCCCGAACTCGATTTCTTAAAGTAGAAAAAAACTTAAACTCAAACCTAATCAACTCGATTTTTCCTTGTAACCTCGAGGCAAGTGTTGACTAGTCCCATGATAACAAGTTTAATTGTTCTCCCTAAGTGATTACAAGAAAAATAAATAGTCCCATGATAACGAGTTTAATTGTCATCCCCAAATGATTATAAGAAAAATGAATAATGAGAAATGATAACTACGAGAAAGAGTGATAAGAAGGAGAAGATGGTTGCAAGAGAGTGTTCATGGCAATAATAATGCTAAAAGAAGGAAGACAAAACCACAAAAAAGAAAATAAATAAAAATGAAGCAAAATGATAATATGTAAATATTATATTAGTTCTAATTATATATCAATTTATTTATAAAACTATGCTTGTATTTATTTTTACATCTATTCTTTGTTATTGATGTTATTTTTTTGACATAAAATTACATTTTTAGATAACAATGGTAATATGTATAATATTAAAAAATATTTATTAAATTAAGTTGTGCATTAAAAAGTAAATTAAATTTTAGAAAATAACTGTATAAATAATTGTAATTTTTTTATTATATGTAACTAATAAAAAATTAAAGTACAAATTAATAAATTTGTATCTTTTAAGTGAAATTGATAAGCATACTTTATTTTGTTAGTAAAGAAATAGTTATTTCATTATAAAATGGTAAATATTTAAATTTAAGTTTTTTAAATATAATAATATATTTGTTTTAGTATCTTTATTATTTATTATAACTTTAATATCAATCATAATTTGACACAATGTTACCTGAATTAGTACTTAAACGTGAATATTTTATATATAATATTATATTATTATTTTTATTGAACAAATTTTCCATAATTTATCTTATTTTAAGGAATTTTTTATAAAATTGAAGTAAGTGCAATATTATTCTCTTTTAATATAATAAAAGCAAACATTATATTAGTATATGGTTGAAACTCTTGGATAATATTTTAAAAATTAAAGTGTAATTTGAGTTATTATCTGATAAACAAATTATTATGACTAAGATTTCATAGAATTTAATCAATCTTTATTTTTAAAGTGTAAAATTGAATTAAGAATTTTTTTTATCATCACTCTTATTAGTGTTTGGAAGATTCTATTTTATCATTAATCCAGTTACTATAATACGATATAATTTGTTAAAAGTTAATAATTTTAATGGGTGTATTAGTTAAAAAATGATAAATATACTAAAAGACTTTCATCAGCATATTTTTAAAAAAGTTTAGGCAGATATAATTTTTATAATATCATAATATTAATATTTAATGTTTAAAAAAATTCAGTATGTAATTAGTATATTTTTTTTGTTAGACTATTACAAATATCATTTATTTTATTTTAGAAAGGACGATTTAATTGAAAATTTTCATCCAATTTCTAATAGAAAATTTAAATATATGATTTCAAGTTGTTACAATAAAAAATTTTGTACTCATGAAATATCATAATTTGTCTTATCTTTGTTAATATATTAATGTTCTAATTAAATTTTCCAACATAAAACCAATCTAACATGTAATGACATGAGATAGACGATGTGAGACTTTCAACAAAAGGGCAACTTTTGGCCCATGATAATAACCGGACCCCTCCAACGAGGCCTGCCGGACCAGGCAAAGGGTACTTTTGACCCAACTAAAGGGCAACTTTTGGCCCATGACAATAACCGGAAAGATGTTAGGCTTTGGCTCTGATACCATGTTAAGGTTCTAACACAAAATCAATTGGCAATATGTGGAGTAGTCTAACATGTATTTAAACCATACCAAATGACATGAGGTAGGCGATGTGGGACTTTCAACAAAATATATAAATAAATATGTAGAAATTATCATAATTAATATTACTTTTTTAATTTTAATTATAATATAAAATTTGAACAAAAATTTAATTTTAAATCTTGGAATAATAAATTTTATTTATATTGATAATATTTTTTTGTAATTAGATAAAAGTTTCTCTCACATAAGACGCTGAGAATTGAAGTTTGTGACTTAATTTTATTTTCTTATTCATGTTATTGTGTAGAAGAAAAGTTTTTTTATTCAACATTGTATAAATATAAAATCGGACTAACATGTACAATAAAATATTATAAAAATGTAGGATAAATATATTTTCTTTCCTAAAATAAAAAAAATATAAATAATAAATATATGTAAACTCAATTTATTAATAAATAAAAGATTAAAACTAACAAATTTCTAATATGCAGATATGTTGTAAATATACATCATAAAATACATAATTTTTTTTTAAAATATGTTACTGATTAAATACATTTATTGTGTTCTAATTATCATAACTAATATCATCATTTTAAATATTTTAACTTTAAAATTCAAAATTAAATTTTTAATTTTGAAATAATTGTATATATAATTTTTTATGTATATAATGGATTGGTTAGATGCAGAATCCAAATAATCGTATGTAGTATTGATAACTCCAATCCAATTTCAAATACAACTAAAAATGTTAAATGAAAAAAAATGTTAAAATATATAAATTAGACTTATTATAATAATTTAAATTTAAATTAACATAAAAAGGTTTTTATAAAATAAATATGTAAAAATACGTTATCTTCTCGTTTAACTTATTTCATAATTATAACATTTTTTTTATGTTCTTCGTTCACGATCTCACATATTCTAGATTTATTTGTCTTTGAAAGAAATATCATTTTTTTCTCTCTTTTTAGTATGGGTTAAGTTGTTTCTTTTGATAAGTTAACTTCTTTTTTAAGTTTATTTCTAAATCTTTTGGTTATTTAAAATTTACATAATTGTTTTAGTTTATTATTTTCTTGCATGTGTTCTAGTTTATTATTTACTTTTGTATTTAGATATGTCATAATAAGTCAAACTTACTATTTTAATTATTTTAGAACTGACATAATATATAAAAAAGAAAAATTATGTCACCGATATTTATGTCAACTGTGGAATTGATATGAAAAATCTAAAATCTAAACATGCTAAGACAATTAGGATATCTCTAAATTATGAGACTATCTTGGAGTTAAGTCCCATTACCAATATAGGTGAGACATTTTGTAAGGGATTAATTCTTATGAATAAGACACAAATAAATCATGTAAGAGATTATGATATTATATTTAACAAAAAAATCTTAAGATATTATGTTATATGTCTTTCTCAATTATAAATTACTCATTTTTTTCATTTTTATTCAATATACGAGATTTTAAATCATACTATTAGATTTTAAACAAGATACAAGGTGTACTATTATAAAGACATAAAATTATTCATTTTTGTGTTTATAAATATGATGTCATAGTATATTAGTTTTTGCATCTATAAATATAAATAAGTATCACATAACAAGAGAAAATATTTTAAGTTCTAACTTGGAGTGTTGAAAATTTTCTTTTTGGCTTAAATACTTTAATATCCTACAGCCCCAAAAATTGAAATCTCTTGCCCAGTTTTTGACGAAATTGTTTGTGGTATTTTAGAGGTTGTGTTGATATTACTCATACAAAAAATACTTTTTGTAAGATTATAATAAGAGTAAGATAAGTTATGAATTGAATTGCTTTCTATTTTGATTAATTTTCTTTTCACTTTTTTCTTTCTTTTTCATTTATATTTTGTATTACATTTAAAGAAATTATAAAGATATAAAAATAATCCTCAGAAATTATAATATTTATAAATACGAAGATTACATCAATACAATGCAATATTTTAAAAATATTTTCAATGTATTCAATCTCCATTTAACACTTTTATAACAACACATTATTCAACATTTCTCCTTTTTTTAGAAAAATTGTGAAGATAAAATTATAATTCTTAATAATAAGAATAATTGAGATAATGTTTCAAATTTATGCCTTTTTTTAATGGTATAATAATTACGACCTATGCTTTAATGATCGAATTCACTGTTGTGACTTGCTCAAACTATCTGCTATGATATCATAAAAAAGTTTTTTTTTTCCATTATTTAACTTTCTCATTAGAATTTAGACTTATATTTTTTCCCAACAATAATTTATCATTATATATTAAGTTTTGTTAATCATTATTGTTAAGAAATAAATAATGGTTTAATATTATTAAATCAATCCAATGTCATGTTATGGAAATAATTGTATTAATTAATCATTAATAAAATAAAACAGAAATTATGGTTTAATGATATTAAATCAATCAAACACTACGTATTACTAACGTCTAAGATTGATTTTAAAAAGTTACATTCCTTATTTATTTATTTATTTATATGTTTCTATTGTTTAACTTCTCGAAATCGTAAATTTTTTTAATTGATAATAATATAATGTAAAGTACAATAAAAAATATATACTCAAAATGGTAGGAGGATAAATTCTATTTTGTCTTTAGAATTAAAGAGAACCAATTATTAGTTAATATAATCCAACAATGAATTAATTAGACTAATTATACATATTAAAAAATTATTATAATGATTTATCTGTTCACATTAAAGACGAAAAAAAAATTTTTTTTTCAAATTAGATGGTAGAAATTGATCTATGAAGTTATTCTATTTATATGATTAAAATTTAAGACGTGTAAACTATTTTTTAAGTAATTAAGGAAATTGAGTATAGAAATAAAAAAAGTGCTAAGGCAATTTTAGCAATCAGTTAGGGTACGAATAGGAAAAACGAAGTGTGTGCTAGAAATAATGACCGAATTACATTGGAATGAGTATTTAGTTGGGCCTTCTAGATATGGGCCTCCTCTTTCCTGAATGTACCCAAAAATAAAAATAATAAAAAAAAATCACTATCCTTACACCAAAGAGTGATGCTGATAACCGATAAACTTTGTCTCAGTGATCATCGTTGTCGTCATCACCCATGGCTGCGTCATCCACCATTAACAACTTCCTCTCTTTCTTCTTAACCCCAAAACCTCCGCCACCCTCTCCACCGCCGCCACTTAACTTTAACTCCACCACTTCTTCTCAGACCCACAAACCCTCACAGCCCCTAATTACTCAATACGACCCTTCTTCTTCTTCTTCCTCTTCTTCTTCTTATTGTGCTTCTTCCACTGAATTGTCCTCTGTGATATGTCCCTCCATGGCGTACACAAACACGCTCTTCTTCCGGTCTCCGTACAACGTGCAGGTGGTGGTGGCCGGCGACGAGCCCGAGGAACACCTCCTCAACAGGTTCCGCAGAGAGGTGTCGAAGGCCGGCATCATTCAGGAGTGTAGGCGGAGGAGGTACTTCGAAAACAGACAAGAAGAGAAAAAACGCAGGTCGCGTGAGGCTGCTAAACGCAACCGCAAAAGGTAGTCCCTCTCTTTTTTCCTCTCATGTGGTTGGTAGAATGAAAATAGGAAAAATCAATGGAAATGAATTTTTCACAAAAATGAAATTTTCGTAAGTTGAAATTAGCTTAGTTATAAGTTATATGAGGGTTATGTCATTTGTTTTGTGAAGACAGGATAAAGAAAAGTACCATAACCTGCTGTGGCCTACTAATTGTTTCTGTCCTTTTTGTATGGATAATTCACAGCTATGGTTTTTCATGCTGGATTTCTGTGAGGTTTGGCTCTTTCATATGAGGCTTTTTTTAATTTGTGGGGTTTCATGTGAGGGGAGGGATAAATTTAAAGATCATGAAAGGTTGGATCTGTTAATTTGTTTGAAGGTGGGAACTTAAGTAGTACATTGGAAGAATGGGGTTTCAATGTGGGGTATGTAAGGCAAGAGTTAACTTTAAATTTGTGATCAAGTTTTGTCTAGGGTGCCATTGGATAAGAAACTTGGCAGAACCATATCTCAATAGCTAGCTAGTAGTTGGAGAGTCGAAGACCTTATAAACCTCACACTAGTATTTCATATTTCCAATTGGAGCTCAAATTCTATACTTTTCTCTTGGATCGTCATAAGAACCTTAATTATGGTCTTTGCATTAATTTGTCATGTCATGTTAAAATTTAGTATGTGAAAGTGTTCATTTCCCGTGTCACTGTTTTTTCTCTGGTGGATAGTGGTGTCGGGCGACCCAAAACCAGGTAGAAGAGGAGAGGAGACTAGTGAGGCATGATAGTGATGAACTTTGAAAGGCTTTTCTACAAGTTGGAACCTTTTTTTTTTTAACCCAAAATTACCCCCATAAAGTGCTCCCCAAATGATAATATTGTTGGCCATTCTCTGGATTTTAGATACCAACAACATAGTGGGCCTATAGCGCCACAAAATACCGCCATCAGGCTGCTACATTGAAGTGTGACATGTGGCTGTACATATAGATATAGGACAGTACAAAGCTCAAAACATTGAAAAAGAACAAGTTAGCATCACTCTCCCAAACAAATCCCTGTTTCATTTCTTTATGAATTGACTTGACACTTGAGGAAAAGAAAAAGGCTGCCTGGTGCATGAGACTAGCATGATTGGGTACATTGGAAGGATAAATGTATGCAATCTCACCCTGTGTGGGGAAATACACCATTTTCTGGACTTAGTCCCAGGACCTGTAGGTCACAAGGCACTCAGGAAGAAACCTCCCTGTTAGAATCCTTTAGATATATTAGATTCCTATAGATATAATATTAGGATCAATTAAATGATTCAATATTTATGTTATTAACCTAAATAAGAAAGCTGCATATTCTGTAATTATGCTCTCTTAGGTATAAATTGAATAGCTCTGTTATTATGGTCTATCATGTATCTTTTCCGTTTCTCTCTTCTCAACATGGTATCAAGAGCCTAATGAGAAGGAAACCTAATCCGTGTAAAGTTAAGTATTTGGTGGGGGAATTTCATAGAATTCTAAATCCTCCAATTATATAAATAATTAGTGAACTCTTACTCTGCTCAGAAAATTTACACTTTGTGCGGATGTATATATACAGTAGTACGACAAGTTCTGTCTATTATTTTGTGTAAGGTTGAATTTCTACTGGATGGCTCACAAATATTTTGTGTAAGGTGGTGGGAGAACTTTTTCAGGTTAGATATATTTATTAGCAAGGATTAGTTTAGTTTTGATACTTTTTCTGCCTCACATAATTTTCAGGCGGCCCATGTCAAACACTGTAGCCCAGAAAAAACAGGATGTACAACCAACCAAGAGAGAAGACGATGAGGATAACTGGGATCTACCTGAAGGAGACACTCTGTATTAACCTTTTCATCCCCTAAGTTCTGTAGGTTTCCTTGATTTCACTCTTGTAAGTTTTGTTAAGAAGAATGTGCTCCTTACTTCGTGCATGTTCAACTGCGTTGGATTTAATGTTATGTAAATTGCTTGTTTGTACATATTTAGTTATGTCCTTGGTTCTCTGAAATATTGCATCAACTTCTTTCTAACTCTCTTGGATCATTTGTAGATGCATTTCTTAGATTGGTTGAAATATGTTTAAAATGAGATGGTAGCTTGTTCGTTTTATTTGTATTCTTGAAGGTAATCAAAATTTAAATAATTCCAGAGTTTTGAAGTCTGCTTTTGTTTGGAGTATATTCCTAAATTCCTATAATTTTAGGTGTTATTGTGAATGTATTTTTAGCTGCTATTGATAATTTGCAAATACTAGTCTAAAAAATATTGCACAGATGCTTCTGGCTTTTTGCTTTTTGCTTTCCCATTATCTCCATGGTCTTCTTCATGCATGGTTTTTAAATAATTTTTGTGCTAGAGATGATAAATTTCAGTTCCTGAAACAACTTCACTGACCAAGGGTAATGTTATTGAGTAAATTATACTGATATTTCTGAACTTTTTTTATATTGCTTATCGTCAGTATAAGTTACTGTAAATGTTAAATAAGTAGGAAAGTTAAGTTTAATCTCAAAAGTTCAGGAAGTACTTAATCTATTTAATTTGATCCTCATTGGTGATTGTTATTGAAATGACTTTTTAAAAATTAAGATTTTAATTCTTATTCTTAAATTAAATGGATTTATATATATATATATATATATATATATATATATATATATATATATATTAAGTAAAATTAATTTATAAGAAAATATATGAAATTGAGTTTTTTATATAAATTGAATTAGTTTACAGGTAAAGTAAGTTAAAAATAAAATTAGTTTTGAAAATTGAACTGGGTGGATCATCCGGTTAAATTGGATAGAAATCGATATGTTATTTTTTAAATTATTGAATTTTAATTAAATTAGAATAAAATTGAAAAAAAAATTAGAATAAAAATCAGTAAGATTTTTGCATCAAATCAATTTTGGAAATTAAATTTTTTAATATAAATTTTTATAAAAAATATAATATATTTTAATTTTTTATTTCATATTAATTATATTAATTTTAAATAATAATTATTTATTATATTTTAATTTTATATAAATAATTATTTATCTTATATTTTAATATATTTTATATTTATAATTTTCATAATAATATTAATAATAATTTTATTATTTATTTTATTTTTTAAAATATTAGTATTAATAAAATAATTATATATTTATTATATTATAAAAATATTATTTTATTAAATTTAGTTGGAATTCGAATTTAAAATTTTAAATCCTGAACTTAGTTAGTTCAGGTTTGATTTTAAAATCATTGATAAAAATAGAAGAGTTTTTATGTAATAGTTAATTTTAATTTATAAAGTATAATTTTTCTTCTAAATGATTTTAGGAAGAAATTTAATGTAAATATAAGGTCTATGGGCCGATCTCAATAGCTAGATGGTCTTATTTTCCAGCGGTCCAAAACTAAACATTGCTAGCATTAGTTTCCTCTGTAAAAGTAATTCTGAGAATACGTATTAAGAGCCAATGGTTAAGTGACGGTTTTTTCAGAATAGGAAATTATGAAATTATTGATTTATATATGATGTGGAGGAGAATATTATGGTATTGATCCAATTTCTGAAATAACAAAAGCTAATTTGAATAAGATTGAATGCAAGAGGTAGGAAAAAAAAATGAGAATTTAAGTAGACATGGAGAGAAAGTTAGTAAGTTAGTGCATTTAGTGGACATTAATTTTGGAGAAACAATTAAATATATTGTAATACTTCACTTAGAAATCTGATAAAATAAGTGATTTAAAAAAAAAGTAAATTGAAACTGCAATTAGTTTAGCAGTTCAGTTGAAAACTTAAAAAAAAAAAAAACTTGTTTCTGATAAAAAATAAAAGGTTATTTATGTTGTTATTCATGAAATTTAGAGATTTAGTTCATATTTTTTTAATTTAAAAGATTAAATTGATTTATTAGTAATATCACTCCCCAAAATTTTAAAGAATAAAAATGTAATTAAATCTAAAATATATTTAAAAAAAAAAAAGCATACGAATTGTATCATTAGGATGATTTTTTAGTGTTAAATATGTTTCTCTTAATAGTAAAAGTTTACTCCTTTCTGTTATGTCTATTCATGAATTATTCCGCCGATAAATTAGTTTCATGAGTACTCACGTGAATTATTTAGGATTAAGGTCGTTTATTAGAGAAATGGTTAGGGTTACTAAGATAAGAAAAGATGATATTAGTGATTTATTTTATTATTAGTTGTTCTTAATAGAGTTTTTTCCCCTTTACTTTCTTTTATTCATAGATAAGGTTAGAGTTGTCAAAATGATTATTTAGTCCGATCTGACCTGACCCAAGTAACAAAATTTAATAGTCTAATTTAATTTATATTTTAAAATTGGTTAAAAAATTAAATTTAATTTGACTTTATATTAGACTATCATATTAATGAGTCAATTTTAACTTGATTAAAATTAAAAAATATATTGATATATTTATACAAAATTAATTAATTAAAAAATATTTAAATAAAAATTAAAAATAAAAATATATTTTAAAATTAAAATTTTATTAATAAAATTAGTTTTTATTTAAAATATAAATAATATGAGAATCCATCTATTTAATATAAAAAATCAGAATAAAAACTTATTCATTGTTATCATTATTTTTTAATAATTTATTAATTTAAAATAATAATTAACTTTAGTCTTCTAAAATAAATTATTAGATCTTAAAATAAATTATTAGTAAAGATTTATTAAGATATTTATTCTTAAAATAAATGAGTAATTTTTGAATAAATTTATAATACCTATATATCTATTTTTTAATAAAATAATATTATTTATTTATTTACAAAATAATTATTATTTTATAAAACGGATAGACTTGAAGTCTATTACAACTTTTTTACAACCTAATATAACTTCTTCTTTTTTTTTTTTTATCAGTGTGATCTATTAGATTAAATCTATTTTAACATTTCCTGCCCCTATTAAAAATTAATTAATTGATAAATACAAAATATTTATTAAAATATTCATACATTATTCTCTATTTTATTATTTTGTAATTAATAATATATATATATATATATATATATATATATATATATATATATATATTTTGTTAAACACACATAATCATACCTGTCTTAATAAACGTTACTTCTTCAAGTAATTGGTTTCTACTTCGTAATGTAGCAATGATTAAACAATATTCTTTCACCTAATTAGTTTATAGCTTTTAATATACCAATAAATTACAGCGAATATTTATTTAGGATAATATAAGAATAAAATTATAAATATTGCATTAAAAAAATGAAGAGAATATATTTAAAAAATAGTTGCATAATTTTATTTAAAGAAGTCAAATTTAGTACTATTTGAATTAATGATTTATTGGTGTTAAGTGTGTTGGGTATTTATGAGAGATACGGACTGAAATATTCTCTGAAACATGTTAATTTATTTTTTTCTTATTTATATACTACTTAACATTTCTATTATTATTCAACGTGAAATTTGAAGGTGTACTTGAAATTTCAACCCTATGGTCGTATAGGTGGTGATGGTACATGTGATGTGAAATATAACTTTATTATTTGGCCACACCCGTTACTTTGATAGAGATATTTTATTTATTTAAGTTACGTAAATTGTAATTAATATGATATTCTAATGATCATATATATATATATATATATATATATATATATATATATATATATATATATATATATAATCCCATATTGAAATCATGTTATAAATTAAATGTGAAAGTGTACTTGAATTGGTCATGATGATTATATCCTTTGTAGAAGCACTTTTGATTTAATCTTATGGTCTTCCACCTGAAGAGCACTTGTATTTCCCTCTTGATTTTCTCTCTTGATGGGGATAGAAAAGAAAAGAACGGGACTGTAACTACGTTCTTTCTACGTGCTCTCAGAAGGGGACTATGACCTCTTAAAATAACCAAAATTAGGTTAATTACTTAAGTTTTAGTATTTCCAATTTGGCCCCTCATCAAATTAGAAATTACTTTATGGTCTCTACACAATTTTATTTTCATGACATATGCCTTTAGCCAAAACTTTAATTTATTCAGATCACTTTATTATTTGCCTTAATAAATAATGACCCTAACACATTTAAATATGTATCATATATATACATGACCCAAATTTTGTCAACAATCTCCCACTGATCACAAATATATATGTCCTTACAACCTTACAAATGTGTTAGATTTTATGAGCTCAAAATTGTCATTATATTCCTTTAGCATATTCCAAAAGTCCTGTCTATTAATCATATCAGGATATAAAACCAAACTAGTTTTTCATTGCATCATCGCAACTAAAACCAACAATGATTACTCATCCTGACATAACCAAATGACATGGATTCATCATGAAATGTGTAGCATGAAAAATTACGTGAAAGTGATCTGTACACGTCTATTTTCAACTGGTCCAAACTTTAACTTATCGAGATCGAAATAATAACCTTAATGTACAAAGTGTAATGAATGAACAAAAACCGCATATCTATAGATAACCAAATATGTCCAAAAAATCAATGTATACATATATAAAATTAAACATAAAACATAAAATATATGAAAATGACTAACTCCCACTAAACCACAAATTCCTCAAACTGTAAAACACCCATGTGAGCAACATGCTCATGAAAGACCTTGGGCGGAAGTCCTTTAGTTAGAGGATCTGCTATCATGGAGTTTGTCCCTAAATGTTCTATGGAAATGCTGTTCACTTTGTACTCTTTCCTTAACAACTAGAAACTTAATGTCGATGTGCTTTGACTTAGTCGAACTTCGTTGTTGTTGGAATACAATACAGCTCGATTTGTTGTCACAATATAACTTAAGTGGTCTTTCAATGCCTTTCACAATTTACGACCCCGTGACAAAATTTCTCGACCATATTCCATGATTCGACGCCTCATAGCATGCTACAAATTATGCCGCCATAGTGGATGAAGGCCGTAAGGGTTTGCTTGACACCGCACCAAGAAACCGCACCACCCGCTAACATGAAAATGTAACCCGAAGTGGATTTCAAACTATCTTGACATCCCGCAAAGTCCGAGTTAGAAAACCCAGCGATCTCCAACCGGTCCGACCTCCTGTATGTGAGCATGTAATCTTTTGTTCTCTTTAAATATCTCATAACCCTTTTTCTTCGCTTTCCAATGGTCAATTCCTGGATTGCTTAAATATCTCGCCTAGAACCCCAACTATGTATGCTATGTCCGGACGCGTACATACTTGGGCATACATTAAACTCCCTACAGCTGATGCATAGGGAATCTTTTCCATTTCCTCAATTTCCAAATTTCCCTTTGGGCACTGATTGAGACTAAACTTGTCTCCCTTAGCAACTGGAGTATCCCCGAATTTACATTCATGCATGTCAAACCTTTTAAGAATTGTTTCGATATAGCTCCTTTGTGATAATCCCAAAATACCCCGACATCGATCTCGGTGTATCTGAATTCCTAATACAAAAGACGCATCACCAAGATCTTTCATTTCGAAATTCTTTGATAAAAATTTCTTGGTTTCGTGCAATATGTCCATATCATTAGTGGCAAGTAGAATGTCATCAACATACAAGATCAGGAAAATATTCTTACTCCCCTTAAACTTGTGATATACACAATCATCAACAATATTCATCTCGAAGCCAAATAAGAGAATTACTTGATGAAATTTATAGTACCATTGACGAGATGCTTGTTTTAGTCCATAAATGGATTTTGTCAGTTTGCAAACCATACTCTTTGAATCTCCCTGCACAAAATTTTCTGGTTGCACCATATAAATCGTCTCATCAATGTTGTCATTAAAAAACGCCGTCTTGACATCCATTTGATGAAGCTCCAAATCATAATGTGCTACAAGAGCCATGATTGTCCTAAAAGAGTCTTTCGATGAAACTGGAGAGAAAGTCTCTTTAAAATCAATCCCTTCCTTTTGGGTATAGCCCTTAGCTACCAAACGAGCCTTATACCTTTCCACATTACCTTTAGAATCCCGTTTGGTCTTAAATATCCACTTGCAACCAATGGGTCTCATACCTTCTGGTAATGGGACAAGTTCCCAAACCTTATTGTCTTGCATGGACTTATACTCCTCCTTCATTGCTTCAATCCACTTTTCAGAGTTAGAACCTTGCATGGCTTGACGGAAGTTAACTGGGTCATCTTCCATCATACCATTGTTTTCCTCATGTTCCTGAAGAAATACCATGTAATCATCCGAAATAGCACTTCTTCTTTCTCTAGTGGATCTCCGCAAAGTTATTGGCTCATGATGCACAAGTTCTTGAGGATCTTGAGTTTGTTCTTCATGAACAACCAAATCATCTTGAGTAAGGGGTTCATTAACAATTCCTTGTGGAGGTTCCGAACTTACTTTATCAAAAGTAACTGTTTGAATCGGTTCTGGAATTGTTACCAATTTTTCCTCCAAGACAAAGTTCCTGATTTTATTCTTCCCCCCAAACTCAATATCCTCAAAGAACATAGCAGTTCTCGTCTCAAAAATTGTCTTTAATGTGGGATCATAAAATTTATATCTCCTGGATCTTTCAGCATAACCAATAAAATAACTACTTACTGTTCGGGAGTCCAGTTTCTTTTCATTTGGCTTATAAGGCCTTGCCTCAGCTGGACATCCCCACACATGAAAATGCTTCAAACTAGGTTGTCGCCCAGTCCAAAGCTCATAAGGTGTTTTGGTTGCTGCTTTAGTTGGTACTCTGTTCAGAATATAAGTTGTCATCTTTAGTGCCTCTCCTCAGAGTGACTCTGGTAAGGTGGAATGACAAATCATACTCCTTACCATATCTTTAAGAGTTCGATTTCGTCTTTCAGTTACACCATTCATGCTAGGTGATCCCGGCATGGTATACTGTGGGACAATTCCACACTCCTCTAGGTACCTGGCAAAAGGTCCTGGACGCTGTTCACCTGATCCGTCAAATCTGCCATAGTACTCACCACCACGATCAGATCTGACAGACTTAATTCTTTTATTGAGTTGATTTTCAACTTCAGCTTTAAATGTTTTGAACACGTCTAGAGATTGTGACTTTTCATGTATAAGGAATAAGTATGCATATCGTGAGTAATCGTCTATGAATGATATAAAGTATTGTTGACCATTCCACGAAGGTGTAGGAAATGGCCCACAAATGTCCGTATGTATCAACTCTAAGACGTCTGTAGCTCTATATGCACCTAATCTCTTCACTTTGGTCTGTTTGCCCTTAATGCATTCAACACAAACATCAAAGTTTGTGAAGTCAATGGACTCTAAGATTCCATTTAACACAAGTCGTTCAACTCTATTTTTAGAGATGTGACCTAAGCGCCTGTGCCATAATGCTCCTGAGTGAATATCATCAATTTTACGTTTAGTACCCCGTGATTCTGTATTAATGGTTTCATTATAGGTGGTCACAGTATCAAGTAAATACAAATTATCATAAGGCAAAAGTGAACCAGTTCCAACAATATCTGAATTAAAAGACAAACTGAACTTATTGTTTCCAAATGAACACAAATAACCTAATTTGTCCAGATAAGAAACTGAAACTGAAACCAAATTCTGTCTAAATGACGGCACAACAAAAGTGTCTTTTAAATCCAAATAAAAACCAGTACTTAATAACAATTTAAAATGCCCTATAGCTTCCACCTCTACCGATTTGCCATCTCCAACATATATCCATCTTTCAGAATCAATTGGCTTCCGGTAGCTTAGGCAACCCTTTATAGAAACACTGATGTTAGTAGTTGCACCTGAGTCTAACCATCAAGTGTTACTAGGTACTGACGCTAAATTGACTTCAGAACAGACCAAAATAGGAGACATACTTTTGAGGATCGGAACATAATTTAAATTGGCAGATACAGAAACAATTGTAGCTGAATTAAAAAACAAGAGAAATAAATTAATTATGCTCACATTATAAAAATAAATAATTATAAATAAAATATATATTCAAATAATGGTTTAACTCATCTCAAGACACCCAATGCACCATCAATATCAAGTCTTTGGACGATAATATTAACTCGCTAGAGGTATCTTGTTGTAATAATCAAACATTGACAATAAAGCACGTCCAACAACAAACCAGTCTTTGGATTGATTTATCATCGACAAAGTAAATCCTTATAATTATCACATGTTTATCATTACAAGTGTGTATGTAATTCGGCCAAATATTAATTTTCCTTTGGACCGACTAATACTCGCATGAATATACACAAACACTAACATTTAATATTTTTCACGAACTACCCAATTCAAGAGATGTTACTTTGGTAACTTCTTGACTCAATTTGCTCACAAAAATATTAAACTACCAAACAATTTGTACTATAATGCCACGTATGATGGCTTTTTAATTAAGGCAGCGGGTCCCACACCATCTCACGCGCCGCCTCCGCCGCACAAATGTCGCCGCCGAACACCAGCACCGCCATGCTCATCTCCTCCCTCTTCTTCTCCTCAAATAACGGTGACAAATTAAACCCCTCCGACAACGAGATTATGTGAAACGCGTTTATCGTAGCAGGCGTCTCACACTTCTCCTCCAAATCCACCTCCAAATCCACCTCCGCCACCTTCCACGGCACCGGCTTTTTAAACCAAGAAGACTCCATCACTTTACAAATACTAATCCGGGTATTCGAGTTCGGGTCGAGGAGTCTGGTAACAAGCCTTCGCGCCTCCACAGAAAACCAAGGTGGACACTTGAAGTCCCCTCTGTAAATTTTTTTTTTTTTTATACATGGCAACCAAATTATCATCTTAAAAGGGTAAAAGCCCTGCGAGGAGGACATAGAGGATGACCCCACATGACCATATATCAGCCTTGGCACCGTTGTACCCCTTTTTCACTATGACCTCTGGTGACACGTACGCGGGCGTGCCGCACGTGGTGTGTAGCAGCCCATCCTCCTTGAGGTGGTCGGAGAAGGCGGTAAGTCCAAAGTCGGAAATCAAATGGAGCAGTGCCGCAGACTCCCAGTCCAGCATCAGCGTATCAAAGTGAAGAAACGAAGCGACGTTGGCGGATGCAGTGGTTGTGAAGCGAAGAGACAACCAGGATATTTAACCCCAAATTTTAATTTAGGGTTTATGAAAATTTGAGATTAGGGTTTTGAATTCTTAAATTTTAATTTACCAAATACAAACATGAATCTGTATGGGTGGCTCTGATACCAATTATTAGGTAAAGTGTAATTAATATGATATTCATTCTAATGATCATACATATATATATAATCCCATACTGAAATCATGTTATAAACTAAATGCGAAAGCGTACCTGAATTGGCCATAATGACTATATCCTTTGTAGAGCACTTTTGATTTGATCTTATGGTCTTCCACCTGAAGAGCACCTGTATTTTCCTCTTGATTTTCTCTCTTTATGGGGATAGAAAAGAAAAGAACGGGACTGTAACTACGTTCTGTCTACGTGCTCTCAGAAGGGAACCATGACCCCTTAAAGTAACCAAAATTAGGTTAATTACTTAAGTTTTTAGTATTTCTAATTTGGTCCCTCATCAAATTAGAAATTACTTTATGGTCTCTACACAATTTTATTTTCATGACATATGCCTTTAGCCAAAACTTTAATTTATTCAGATCACTTTATTATTTGGCTTAATAAGTAATGACCCTAACACATTTAAATATGTATCATATATATACATGACCCAAATTTTGCCAACAATTTATATAAAAACAATATTATAATAAACATAGAAAACTACTTAAAAAAAAGAAACTATAAATGGGCATGCCTATGAATTAAGAACAAGAAAATGAGACAAGAGTATAGGAGAAATGCAAAAAGGAAGATAATTATTAATAAGAATATATTTGCTTATAATTTATCTTACCAGCATCAACTATATAAGCAAGAAGCATAATCTGATGAGTAAGTGAAATATTCAAATGAAACATTCAAGCATAGGCCTCTAGACAAACAAGTAAGAACACTTTCCAATTTCCATCACTATGTTATCAACTTTTCATTATTTTATTTTAAATGAATTTTCTGTAATGGGAAGCAAGACTAACAAGAATAAGTCCTAAATCCACACACACAAGCATAGGTCTCTTTTTGCCAATGTAACATACATCTTTCTCTTTTCACTATCACAATGACACATCAACTATTTCCCAAAGCTAGTGCACTGTAACAAAACAAGAGCACCATAAATAAAAGAAAAAGAAAAACGTAAAGCTCCTCAATGCTAGGAAAGCTTGTTTCTATAGGACGTTGTCCCTACTCATCAATATTATCTTGTAGTATTGTAATAACATACATCTCTCCTTACCATGGATTTGAAAATTAGATCCGACCGATTAGTTCAACCTAGGCAGGACACGAGCGGAGTAAGATTTGTCTTTTTTACTCTCCTTTTTAACTGTTACACAGTTTTTATATATATCTCTATTTAATTTTGGATTTTCTTGCTCCTGTTTTATTTTTGATCTATGTTATTTAAAAAAAATAATTATACTTATAATAAATTAATTTTAATATTTTTATATATTTTTATATATTTTTTATACATAAATATTTATAATTTGTAATTATTATTAATTAAAAAATATATATAAAATAAATATTTAATCATTTTTTATACAAATATAGAATACTTATAATATTATTATTATTATTATTATTAATTATTATTATTATTATTATTATTATTATTATTATTATTGTTGAATATAGAAGAAATAGAGTTTGAGATTAATCTCCCTTGTGTATAAATCACACATAGGGTAATCTATTTATAGTAGAGAGATACAACTAAAAGAGTAATCGAAAGTAACAGAATAAACGAGAAGATATTGTTTGATATTATGGTTAATATCTTAACAATATTAAATAATATCTAAACAATATCTAACACTCCCCTCAAGTCTGGAGCATACAAATCGTATGTGTCAAGCTTGTTACAAATATAATCAATTCTAGGACCCCGTAAAGATTTAGTAAAAATATCTCGCTAACTGATCACTTGAGTTAACAAACTCAGCCTTGATGTCTCCGGACATAATCTTTTCTCGAATGAAATGACAGTCAATCTCAATGTGTTTGGTCCTCTCATGAAAGACAGGATTAGAACTAATATGAAGAGCGTACTGATTGTCACACACAAGTGACATTTGAGTGACATCTCCAAATTGTAACTCTCTAAGCAATTGCTTGAGCCAAACAAGTTCACAAGCAGCTGAGGTCATAACTCTATATTCTCGCTTCGCACTAGATCTTGCCACAATACTTTGTTTCTTACTTTTCCATGAGACCAAGTTACCACCAATGGAGACACAATATCCGGATGTAGATCTTCTATCCGAAGGAGATCCCGCCCAATCAGCATCTCGTGTAGCAAACAACTCTTGTATGGTTATTAGAATCATATAACAATCCTTTTCCAGGAGATCCTTTAATATACTTTAAGATACGAATGACTGCATTCCAATGATCTTCACATGGGGAATTAAGAAATTGGCTTACCACACTGACTGCAAAGGAAATGTCAGGACGAGTAACTGTAAGATAATTCAATTTTCCAACCAATCTTCTATATTGCTCAGGATCAGGTATAAGCTCCCCCTAATTTGGTAAAAGTTTAGTATTGGGATCCATGGGCGTATCAACAGACTTTGACTTCATCAACCCAGTTTCCTCTAAAATATTCATGGCATACTTCCTCTGAGATATAACAATACCATCATTGGACTGTGTCACCTCAATACCCAAGAAATATCTAAGTTTGCCAAGATCTTTGGTCTGAAAATGGTGACAGAGATATTGTTTCAACTGAGAGATGTCATGGTTGTCACTACCTATAAGAACGATGTCATCAACATATACTATCAAGTAAACACATCCAACACTTGAGTGTCGATAAAAGACAGAGTGATCTGCTTCACACCGAGTCATACTAAATTGTTGAACAACCTTGCTAAACTTTCCAAACCAGGCCCTAGGAGACTGTTTTAGGCCATATATGGATTTGCGAAGACGACATACCATCCCAGAAGACTCCCCCTGAGCAACAAACCCAAGAGGTTGCTCCATATAGATTTCTTCTTGCAAATCACCATTGAGAAAAGCATTTTTAACATCTAGTTGATAAAGAGGCCATTGTTGAAGAGCGGCCATGGCGATAAATAAACGAACAGAAGTCATCTTTGCCACAGGGGAAAAGGTATCTCCATAATCCAACCCAAAAATTTGAGTATAACCTTTGGCCACAAGACGAGCTTTGAGGCGATCAATAGTACCATCAGGTCCAACTTTGATAGCAAACACCCACCTGCAACCAACAACAGATTTCCCAGACGGTAACGAGACCAATTCCCAAGTTCTACTATTATAAAGAGCACTTAGTTCATCTAACATGGCCTGACGCCAACCAGGATAGACTAAAGCTTCACGGACAGTTTTTGGAATGGTCACAGAAGAAAGAGAGGAAAGACATGTATAAAAAGGTAATGACAGTCGATGATAACTCAAACCAATATAATGAGGAGAGGGATTACATGTAGAACGAATACCTTTTCGAAGGGCAATGGGAAGGTTAGACTCAGGTGTCACATCCGGAGGAGACAGAGTAGTTGGCACTTGAGTAGAGTCACATGGTGGTGGTTGTGATTGGTTTCAGCAACTATAAACCTGAAGAGGCAATGAAGAAGAAGCTGACTGCGGAGTAGAATCTAATGGTGAAGAAGACACAGTTAGAGGGTCACAAACAACAGGAACAGTAAATGTACTAGGAGTGTTGACAAGATTGGATGGAGACAGAGGTGAAGATTGACTTTTAAAATAAAAAGAGAACTCATCAAAGGTGACATCTGCAGACACAAAATAACGGTTAAGAGAAGGAGAAAAACATTTGTATCCTTTTTGTGATCTTGTAAACCCTAAGAAAACACATTTATGTGATCTAGGAGAAAGCTTGTCAAGACTAGAACTAAAATTATGAACAAAACATGTAGACCCGAAAACTTTAAGAGGTAAGGGATGAAGTTGTTCATGAGGGAATAAAATGGAATGAGGTATTTTATTTTCTAGAACCGAAGATGGCATGCGATTAACAAGATAACATGCAGTAAGAAGAGCATCACCCCAAAAATGCTGAGGAACCTCTCCATGAATTAAAAGAGTGCGAGTTGTTTCAATAAGATGTCTATTTTTACGTTCAGCTACACCATTTTGTTGAGGTGTATAAGCACAAGAAGTTTGATGCAAAATACCATGAGAAGCCATGAATTGTTTAAAAGAATGAGAAAGATATTCACGACCATTATCACTTCGCAAAACTCTAATAGAAACACCGAACTGAGTTTGAATTTCATTGAAAAAAGTTTGAAAGACATGAAATAATTCAGAACGATTTTTCATCAAAAATAACCAAGTGCATCTGGAATAATCATCAATGAAAGTAACAAAGTATTGAAAACCTAAAGTAGACTTAACGCGGCTAGGTCCCCAAATGTCAGAGTGAACCACGGCAAAAGGGGACGAAACACCACGTGTGACACTACGAAGAAAGGAAGTACGACTATGTTTTCCTAATTTACACGACTCACATGTCAAACTAGACAATTTAGATAAGGCAGGGACAAGTTGCTGTAACTTGGCAAGACTTGGATGACCTAACTGAGCATGGAGAAGAGAGGGAGACTCTATAACTGCACCAACATGTGTAAAGGGACGAAGATGATAAAGACCATGAGACTCACATCCTGTGCCAATCACCTGTTTCGAACTCCGGTCCTGTAAACACACGGAACTGTTGGTAAAAGAAACAACACAATCAAGAGAACGAGTTAGACGACTGATGGATAACAGGTTAAAAGGAGACCCAGGGACATAAAGAACATTATCAATGGTTAAAGAAGAGAAAAGTTTAACAGTTCCAACACCATGAGATGATACTCTAGAGCCATCAGCTAGTGTAACAAAAGGTAAAGGATCAGGAGAGGATAAAGAGGAGAACAAA